ACTGGCCTGGTACGACCCTGAGAGCAAAAGTCTGTCATTGCAAAATTGAGGAGAATCGGGACTTGCTTTCTTTCAATCCTCGGCTTTTTCGCCGCTTGTGTGTCACATGTGATGGTCTTAGATGATGGAACAATTGGTATAACATTTTCAGGCAGCCCTGGTAGATGCTGTACTCGAGGTGGATTCTGCAGTCTTATGAACAGAGTGTCTAAATATCTGTGGCCATCTTCAGAGAGAGCTTCCAGCCACCCCACCACGGTTGCCTCTGCACCATTAGTTGCACACAGCTCTGTGGCTTCATTATATTTGAGCATGACGGGCATACCAATGCAAAGGCTCAATGATCCAGCATGATTGTCCGTGCAGCATGGAGGAAGGTCCCAAAGCATCTTCTGTATGGCAGGATCAACTATGTTATGGGAGCGAATCAAGTCTAGGGTTTTTTCATGGGCTCTCTGAGTTGCCCTCAAGGATTCGAGATCCTTACGTCTGGCCCACTTATCTTTGGAATTGAAGCATATCAGCTCCTGACCTGTGTCAAGAGCAAATCGTGCAGCTCCCATTTCATTTATCTTATCCCTATGAACATTTCGAGCAGTTATTATGGGAACTCCTCGATATATTGGATCACTGAGCTTTGGTTGGTGAGGCAATGGGCCTGCAACACGACTTTTGAGCAATGTTATATCCTCCTGGGTACATGCTTTGTATCGCAAATTCTCCAGGGCAGTCCGAAATTTGATATCTTCTTCACACATACCTTGCTGTCTCATATTCTTCCTTAGAATGACTACGTTGGTAACAAGGAGCCACAATGCACGGCCAAACTTTGCCTTCTCTTTGTTAACAGTTTGCTTGACTTTGGGACTCTCATTATCAAGAACGTCAGTCCAGAGCGGTGTACCCTGGCCAGGAGGTTGTAGTTGAGCAAAATCACCAGCAAATATGATATGACATCCTCCAAAAGGCTCCTGTGGCCGAGATCTTGCTAAGCACAACTGTGATGAGATCTTTGCCAGCTGCTCGCAGCTGACCATAGACACTTCATCTATGAGAAATACATCTGCTCGACCTATTCTCTCCCGTATCTTTGATAGTGTAGCCACTGAGGAAGACCCAAATTCATCCCTTCCAATCCCAAGCAGAGATGCATATGTTGAGCCACCTACATTGGCTGCAGCACTTCCAGTGGGTGCCATTATCATGAATCGATATGCTTCACCCCTCCTCTCAAAGAATGCTGTGATAGCCTTGAACACTTGCGATTTGCCTGTTCCACCCATTCCGCCTATATACATCATGAGCTGTTTTTGATCACCTGTGCACCCCTCCACAACCATCTTGAATGCTCTTTCTTGCTCCTCATTCAATGAGAATTCGATGATGATGTCATGTATAAGTGTTTCCTTTGCCTGTGTTTGTGAAGGCATAACGCTATGGTTAGAGTCAATCTCTTCCATGCCGAGGATTGATACATGTCCAGTGGGGTCTTGCACTGATGGCTTAGATAGAGAACCATCTGGAATAGATACATTCAAGTCCACGGAGACTGTATCCGAATTTTGTTTCTGTGTAATTGCTTTGTGTCGCTGTGTACTCAGCATCTCTGCCCACTGCTTTGATGTCATACCACTGGGAGGATCAAACCTGAGAGGAAGAGAGGGTACGTTACATATTGGTGCCGGAGAGAACCAATGATGTCTCTCTAGAATATTCTGCATCTCAGAGAGACCCTTATAGATCCTTTCACGCGGTACGAATGTCTCTGGACAATACTCAACTACTTCCGCCGCTGTCATGTCATCGATTTCAGGATTCTGAACAGGTACCGTTATGTTATCATCAGGACTGTAGCCTAATATTTGTGCTAAAGCAGGATTATTAAGATCCATATTTCTAGAATCTCTTAGGTCGTCTCTGCAGTCATAGCATTCGTAAAGAATGTTGAAGTTTTTAATCATTCTCTTATGCATATCAGGCAGTGTATCCTCAACTCTTTCGAATGCAGAGTGCCAGCTTTCTTCTGGCGTTTTAATATCGGTGGAACTGTACCATCCAGGATAAAAAAGAGCTAACATGGTTTGACAATAGAACTCACGGTCACCTTTATCACATCTTGGAGGTGACTCCGTGAAACTGAGAGTGAATGGTTCACTTTCCTTTCGCTCGCAGAGCACGTGACTGTCACGTTGTATGTGTCCCACGCCGAACAAATAGCGCTTTGATCGCTGTGAACTACATTCATCAGGATATGTTCGAAAATGCACAGGACTCTCCATTTCCTTTCTGACAGAATGCTTTTCCGGTCCACCCAACTTCTTCTTGTAAGTAAATTTCAGGAAATCAACCAGACACCAGTTACGATATTTGACTGGACGGTAGAGCCAGTCCTGAACATGAGGTAACTCGACCACGGTGCCATTGACGTTGTCAAGTAAAACAATGTCTTCACCATTGACCTGGGACTGGATCTCCTCATTCTTCTCAGCATCGGAAATTGTGGATAAGATCGCGACGTATTGCTTCCAATTGAAGTTGCGAAATGTACGATTGGTGTAGTGATCCGGAAAGTCAAGAAGATACGAAGCGACAAAGGGTGCGCCGATTTCATGTTTGGCTGTGAGCGAGTTGACAATTTTGACCACCATCCTGCGGGTGACATCCTCGTCCACACCATTGCACTGAATTATCTCAGATGACTTGTTTAGAATCATCCTTACAGAGTCAAACATATGGTGGGTCTTCAAGGTTGACTTTGTCACGTAGTCGGTGATATATGCGATCACTGCCTTGAGCTGAGTACCAGATTGCATGGACACAACATCAGTATTACACCTCAGCAGGTAGGTGAGTATCTTGTTATATGTATTGAGCCATGGTTCTTTGTGTTTCATATATATAACCCCATCATGATCATCGATGTGGGTCTCGGCGCGAGTCTCCCTTGGGAATCTAGCTCGACACTGTCCGTTGGATTTCATACAACCGTACCCATGGTTTGGGCTGTGGCGATTGGAAAGATATGCAATTACATCGGAATCCAGGCTCAGCTGATGATACCATCCATCAAGTTGAGAAGCTGAGGTCACATTTGGAGGAAGCGGTGGCAATGTACTTAGAATACCCTTTGTACCTCTCTCATCAGTGCTCACACCCTGAAACATATCGTCGAGGTGAGCTATCTTGGCGAGAGGATCTAATCTCTTGGCAATATCAGCTTCTGTTCCTGTGGTAAACTCTCCTTGGTGGATGGACTCGAGCCATTGAATCATTCGGGATCGGAACTCTTTATCGCCAGATTTCAAGCGATCTCTTAGCTCCTGAGGACTGAGGGAACCTTTTAGCCATACGAGACAGTGCAAGTGTAGGGTAAGCCTTCCTTGTGCCTCCACCGTTCCATAGTACGCCTCTGTGTCTCCAAATAGTCCTCCTCCTTCCGTTGGCCGCAAGAGCTTCTTCACAAACAGGTCTACCATTAAATGAAAGAATCGGGCACAGGCAACTGGATTCGATGATATCATTCGTAATCGCTCTCCAACATCGGGAAAACGAGTGTTTAGCTCTGTCATAGTCCTTCCATTGGTGTCAGAATAGTAGAGGCATATGGGGTGTTTGAAATCCACTGGAGAAAATGTAACAAAGAGGGTGAAAGCACCATTCTCGTACATCAAAGATTTAATTTCTTTTCGGAGAGACTTTCTAGCTGTTGTAGATCCCTGAACATGTCCGTGAACATACTGTAAGTCACGCAATATATCAAAGCAATTCTGTTCCGCAGGTGTTTCAGGCTTCAGATATTCTCCCTCTTCGCCACGTCGAATAAGAGACTCCAGAGCTTCTTGGTCCAACATTTTGATTCTGTTTGGTAGGTGGCGCATGTGTTTTCGCTTAGCCATGAGAATTCCTGCTATAGATGCCTGGGAGATCTGATCTTGATTAAAGACGATGAAAGGAAAATATTCATCGACTTGGAATCTCTTGTCGTGGTACATGAGCATCCACTGGACATGTGTCTTTCTGGACATACTTCCTCGGATTGACTTATTACATGGACCCCCAGCACCAAAGGGGAAAAGCCACGGAAACATGCCTGGATAATAGCTAGGGTCAGCATAGGTTCCAACTGGGTCCCGCCCTTTTCCCACAGCAAGAACCTTCTTGCCGGAATGCAAATGCTGCAATGCTACCTGCTTCTGACGCTCAATTGACATTTGAGCCAAGTCAGCACCGAGGAGTCCTTCGACAACAAATGGACAAGGGCCATCCACTACGGCCCCATCATCGTCATCACCATTATGGAATACAGGAACGTTATGAGGCTCAGTTACATCACCAGCATGTAAGTGTGATATATGAACAGGAGGCACATCCTCTGAGTATTGCATTAGGTTATCCATAGAGATGGCGATATCTGCATAATCGGAATGATGTCGCTTCAGCCAGATAAGGGCCTCATACACAGCCCTGTGTCGCACAAGAATTGGCACCCTTTTGAAGTCTGCAGATACAGGTGCCGCTGAACCTGTCCATAATATGGCCAATACCTCATCCATCTCATCTCTTGGAGGTGGTAGTATCCTACAGACCTTGATAACAGGCTGCGGAAAAACCACTGCATTCGCCCTCATCTTCCTTTGACCCATCTTGACAGATACTACACATACATTGTGGCGGTATTTCGCTACAAGTAACTTCTCCACAAATGTCAAGCGAGATAACTCAACAGGAACTTCACCAAGCCAAAGTCCATTTGCTAAGGACATCTTAGGGCATTTCTTCTTGTCAATGACAGATGTATAGCACTCAGAACACATTTTGATCACTAGATGGCTAGCACCCTTTGGTCTATGTGTCCCCTGGGGACAAAGGACAGGATTTCCTGACTCCAGACCTGCCACTACATCTCCCATAGCTGGTAGCTCATCATTAATGAGACAGGTCAAATCTGCATCCACAGAATTTACGTCTAGTAGATCTCTCAATGGCGTTAACTGGCCACATACACCACATGCTCCTTCCAAAAGAGCCTCTTCAGATATTGCGGCACAAAATTCAGACACGAGATCTCTCAGTCCAGCAACGGAGTGAGGACGGGGGGGGAAAGCCAGGGGCTGTGGGTGCGGGCTTGCATGCTCATGCTCTGGCATTGCTATTGATACTTCTGATGTAACAGGGTGGTAGTACCGGAATGTCAGAGGACGCTGCACCTGTGGTATCATTCCTTCGACCACTACGGGCTGGGTGCAACAGGCTCCTTGTCTCTCTGCTGGGGATCCATTTGAGCAGGGCTCGAATACTGCATATGTTACTTCACATGCTGTGGTGCAGGAATGTTGCGCCAAAAGAGAGCGAAAGTCCTCCAGTTTACGAGACGTTCGAGGGCACCTTATGTTGTGTTTTCTTAGGATGTCATACAGCTTTCTGGCGGGCACGAACTTCCCAAGATCTGGCAATGGTATGTAGAAAGCATGGAAACACTTTTTCTGCTCATGTGCGACACGTTCGGTGAGTTGTGTCAATGTCAACTGAAATAGATAAACATATTCAATGTCGTCTTCTCCTTCTTCGGTAGCGCCGCCAAAAATCTGAGTATACGATCTCAGAGCACTGAGCTTTACCGATGCCCGGATACGACCTCCACCTTGTGGAAAGGACACATTGCGGCATCGCTTTCTGGTACGTGACACCTCACAGGGACAAATTGCTCTCAGGAGCGTTCGAAGGCACACCAGGGCTAGTAGGGCAAAGCAACACGTCATCGGCACTGGCGATTCATATTCGTGTCCAAGAACGCCACTGGGCGAAGCAATGCAGGATATCACCCCCAGAATTGATGGAAAGACTCCAGTAGGCATGTGCAATGTTATTTCGGGAGATGCGGCGGCAAGGATAGCGAACATCGTCGTAGTCGGTGCTCAACATTTTTGGGACACGTCATCTTTTCAAACCGATCAGGTGACCGTGCGCCAACAAATGCCTATATGAAGGACCGAAGTCAAGGATTGCGCCTCAAAGCAGCACAACTACTGCTGGAGAAGACATTAACACCTGATGCGGTGAAGCAGAAGTTCACCTTCGGATGATGTGCATTGCTGTACATGGTGTTGATATATCCCACATCCCTGCTCCTTTCCAGCTGGTCATGTGACCCCGATATGAACAAATAGCAAGCGAAACTCGAATTTATAACAATAAACGCGCAATGTATAAAGTAACCAATGGACTGAGCTACGGCATAGGAGGTGTTTGGTGTTTAATAATATCTATCGAATATTTCCTCCACCGATTTCGCTGTAGGGTGCCTTGCAAGCATATTGACCGTGAAATGGTCAGTGAAGCACGTGAACACAAATCGTCGACCACTAGTCACCGCAGTAGCTCGATGGACAAGATTACGGGCAAGGAACGCCACCAGTGTGCCTTGCCCGAGCGGGATCCTGGCATAAAGTTGTGCAAGGTCCAGGTCACCACCGACCCAGCCTCCAGGGGGTCCCACGCAGAAGAGGAGGGCATAGAGTCTCCCGTCATCGACGAAATCAAGATGCCATAGCTCACTTGATCCCTCCTTGCATGCAATGGTGAAGAATGCCCCATCCATGTCGAGCCAAGGGCGCTCCTCAAATTCCTTATGCAGATAGTAGCGGACATGCTTAGCACACCTGTCCATAGTTCAATCACCGTTGAACGACAAAGATACAAGGGATAACACGCACATTTCTTTCACATTGTGTTGAGGAGGCGCGTGATACTGCAGGAATGCCTTGATGGACGGGGCAAAATGCTTATTGATGGTTTGAAGAACAGCATCTACGCCGCGCAGGACCTCGGGACGTTGCTCCCTCGTATCGGCAGTGACACGTGGCACTTTCGAGTAGTGCGACCATACGCCGAAATGTAGCGCAGGATTGACTTTCGACCGCGAGTCACCAGCCTTCTTCCGCAGTGCCTTATCAGCGTGGAAGATTGGCTTCATGGCCAGAAGCTTATCGAATTCTGCAAAGAGGGTCTCGCATTTCTCCTCCCCGAAAAACTTGGTGAGAACGATGAGGGGAGCTCGCGGATATTGGGGGGGTGCCAGGCCGTTGCGGGTGGTATAAACCAGGTTGAAGCCTGATGGGATGATAATGGTGAAGAGAATGGGGTTGGTTCCCCATCCTTGCCGTAACATCTGGAGCACTTTAGCCTCCCCTCGCACCCTTTTTATAAAGGCGCTAGGATATTTGGGGAGCACACGTGAGACTAAAGTTTAGGCCAATGAGTGATGAGCTGGCAATCTAAAACCAATGTGACACACTTGTGCTCTCCACAGAATGGCGGTGGATAGAATTGACCATCCCATCACTCTTGGCGAAGGCCCTGTTCTTCCGGATCTGACCTCCTTGTGTTCGTCTCCCGTGATGTGCCTTCCTTTTATTACCTGAAGAGAGTTCCACGGAGATCATCACGTTCCAGTTAAACATTGAGGTCCAGGTGACACATTTCGAAGCTTACCCTTTCCTTTCTTGCTTTGTCCGTTCATAGCAGCGAGGCTCTGATGTGTGGTGCGGTAGGGTGACACGGGGGCTGCAAGTCGTGCATCAAGCCAAACACACGAAAACACCGTCACATGACACTCGTGTTCAAAAGAGCGTCGTCCGTGCTCCGGCCACATCACCGGTAGTGTCATGCCCAGGCAAAGAGCACATACGGCGGATTGTGAGCGTACCGAAATGAGTGGCATTGCGAACTCATGCACGGCGCCTGCCGCGCTGCTACTGGTCGTTCGGACGACCTACCGGTGGTGTTGCACATACGTCGAACCCCCCTCCACACTCTTCTATGCTTTACATCAACTCCGGACATGCACTACCAACCTTGGCACGGGCTGGGTTTCTACAACGACAACCGCAACATTGCCGAATCTTGTGCTAACCGGGGGCACGCATTGATGGAGGAGTTGGCGATGAGTCTGCAAAGGTGAGTCTCACGCATGCGTCTGTGTTGATACATCAACAAGGGCTGACTTGCCGATTTTTGTAGATGTCGCCACCACCACGGCTTGCATTTTAGTCCCACCCCCGCTCAGCCCCGCCCCCTCCCCCCCGGTGCTGCCCTCTACTTTACTTAGGGTGTACCTCGCTATGCGTGAACCTGGGTGAACGGCAGGTGTGCACCTGCCGTTTCTGTACGAGTCGTTTACAGCGCGTACAGGTAGACATGTAGTGCATTAGATTCTTGCTTCGCTCTATATGCATTGATAAAGCAGTATCTCTATGTGTTTATGGTCCGAGCATTGTCCTCGAGCTCATCGTCGTGCTTGTGGCTGACCTCTCGCATCATACGACATTTAAACTCTGCTCAGTGCATCCAGCGTTGCAGTGTAGTTTCACTGGAATTGTCCACCTCAACTTCGAGCCATGCAACTCGCTATGTTATCCTCTCAGCGTGTCTGGAGGTACAATACATGTGTTTAGTCAAAGAACGAAGCCACGCTGTTCCGTGGAACTCAAGAATTAACAAGGAGAGTCAGGTCCCGGTTCTACACTATTAGACTACACCATTAGAGTGGTACATAGCTGGTACATGAAGAAATATGGATGTATGACCCTAGCCAGCTCAATGATGTACAGCATTGGACGATGGTGACGACTAGCCAACGCCAGAAAATAAACACACTTTGGTGTTGCAATACTTCGGGTGACAATATCGCCAGTACATAGCATTTATGGTCTCTGGTCTACTCTAGAGAACGTTACAGTGTGTGACCCTAGTTCCATCAGCTATTAATGGTTTCAATTCCCTCATTTCCTGCCAAAACGACTGCATAAACAATATTAAAACTCAAACGAACGTCAACGTAGCCCTCAACCCCAGCCTTGGTCCAACGATTGATGGCGTACCCCACCATCACAATCATATTATCCTCGACGTCTGCAGGAAATAGCGGGAGCACGTTCGGATCAAAGTCGTTTCCATCCAGGACAACCTTTTCGAGGTCCCTCCCATCATAGACAGGGACTAGAATACATCAGCAGCTGCTGTGCTTGATAGTATTGCACAAGTTACCCTTGTCTGTATACCCGAGAGACGATTTTCCAGCAGACCACCTTACTAGGTGAGAGACGCCAGGTACTGGCATTCCGTCCGTGGGGACTGTCACACTCCGGGCACCCACGACCATCTGGTGCTTGCGGCGAGAGGATCTGAAGGTCACCGCATTGGGACCTTAGTCAACGTCAGCTGGTGCTCGTTCTGAAAGCCATAGATAAAATACCTCCAGGGCGAGTGTTGAAGTCGAGTTCACCCTCTTCGTATGGTATCCTCACTGCAAGAACAAGTAAGAACCTCACACCATTCTTGAAAGACAAAGGAGCTCACCGCGATCATCTTGGTCTCCAGTCACCGTCATCATGAAGGAAAACTGGCGATTGAACTCATAGGCTAGCGCAGCGAGTGATATACCGTGAACGAATTTGTCGGTATTGGCAAACCTTTTCCCTTCACCCGTTAGATAGCTGTTTTGAACCACGCCAATGTTGAAAAATATGGATATCTTGTTGTCGTTACCGAGGTACTCGCTGCCACCATAGCCTTTGATCACCTTGAAATGTGATGGATCGATGCGTGCTGGATTGGCACATTTTGGAGTTCCCTTTGACGTTATAATCCGCTTTAGCTCGCTGTAATCTAGATAAGCCACACAAGCCAGTGCAAGGGACAGTAACATACGGAACGTTGATCTGCCACTGCTTGAAGCTGCTAAACAGCATTAAGCCTGGATCATCAGGTGAATCAATCCGGTATATGTGTAAGCTGTGGTGTTTTCAGACGGCGGTAAGCGTGCAGAGGAAGATGAAGTACCTAAGAGGAGGAAGACCTTGAACAGTAGCCTCTAATTCTGGATCCAGGAGGCCACAGCTATGGTATGTGCGCCACACCTCACAGCTCTCTGTCTCAGGTCTGTCTTCTGCGTAAGTCCAAAACTGATACTGACACTTGAAGATAATGGCATGAACTCACTCCTGATTTTTTTCCGGAGCCTCGCTAATCCGGTGAGAGGTTCTGAATATTGGTCAGGCAGGAGAAACACCAGAACAATTAGCTAGTTGATGTACCGGGAAGATTTGTTGTGAGTCTGTGGTGGAGAAGGCGGTATGCTACAGTATAAAACCATTAGCTTCTGGTTCCAGAGGCGTCTAATGACCTACTGGTGCTCGACGATTTTCTCGTTTCCCCTTGACATTTCTGTTAGTGAAGGAGCGTTTCTCGGAAGTATTCAATCGCGGAGCAGCATACTTTGGCATCTCAGGGTCCGATCCTGGCTGTGTATCATTCCTGGGTTGGATTATGATTATGAAGAATAAGGAAGATGCATTGACACATACTTGTTCAATTCCGATGCCAGTTTGACCAGTACCTCTGAGGTAGCCTCTGATACATGACCAGAGGCGTTCACAGAGTCCAGCCTGCAATATACCACTTAACAGCGTGCCCTTACGGAAATCAAGTGGGAGTCTTACAGCTGCACAAGTAATCCGTGGTTGTGGTCGGGGGATTCGTTCCTAGAGAGTCTGTAAGTTTAGTGGACCTGACGCAGGTTTCATAAACACACTTCATAGTGTCTTCAATCGTTTCGCCAGCTTTGTTCTCAATAACCAAATGTCTGAGGGGACGTCAGTGGGTAGGTCACAAACAAAGAGATATTGATACTTACTGTCGTTTTGCCATTCCAGAAGATTTTTCCTGTTCACGTTTTCTCTTGCTGGAGGAGATTCCCCTGCTGAGTGACATCAGTAAGTCAATCTGTCAATGTCTAGGATGGAGGAAGCAGGATGCGAACCTACTCTTCTCTTTAGCGGGGGCTTTCTCGGCAACAGCGACGCCATCATCCTTTGACCTGATCAACGGTATGAGAGCCTAATCATACACACGCAGGCCATGACTCACCCATTTTCTCCCCCATC